CTCATTTCACTCTATTTTTTGTTGTCATTTTAGCTTTGCGTTTTTCCACTTGAAATGGCTCTTTCTATGATATTTCATGCACAGAGAGAAGGATCCCTGGTAGGGTTCAGATCCTTCCTGCTACTCCATCAGTCTCAGTGGTATAGCCGTAAAGCAGCTTGCTGTGCATGAACTGAGGTCACTGCCATGTGGTGCCACAACCTTTTGGTTGGCATCTTTTTGTCATTAGCTAAGGTCTGTGCAGCCCTATAGCTAGGAAGAGTGATTCAGAGAAACTCCCTGATGCCTTCATGTGGATGATGAGCTGGGCTGGGCAAAGGGCTGGTCAGCATGGCTGCCTGAAAGTCAAACAACTCAAGTGCACATGGTTTCAAGGTGTGAGCATCAGTGATGTTTTGTCATTCTATAGTGCTGATGTTTTCTATGGGCTCTTTTAGATACGCCACGGTGCACCCTTGCACCACAGTCCATTTTCCCCATGCATCAGATGGCCATTGGTCAGTGTCATAACCAGCCATGGCCTCGGCCGCGTGCCTTGGCTTCCTTCCTGGGGGAAGGGAATGACTCTTGTGAGCACCCAGCTCATAGCTAGCAGTGGGTCTGCAGCTGTGTATGCAAACCCTGAAGTACTGTGGGATTGTTGTCATATTCCAGTCTGCGTTGCCTTCTGGAAAAGAGCTGGGGTCCTTGTCCAGGGAGGTCACTTCTCTCTTGTGCTGAAATGGCAGAACCATGGGTCATCATCTCCTGATGCTGTTTTCTTTCCAACAAGATCATTAAAACCTCTCAGAGAGGTAATTCCCAGCTTTCCGGTAAGGATAACGTTGACAGTACCTAATTAAAGGGCACTTTTAGCCGGGATAAACATTTATATTAATTTCCTTCTCACACAGATGTCTGGTAAACTGACTTCCTGAGGCAAAACCATCTGGCCTCAGGTGGGAGGGGTATTTCAACCAGCATGAAGAACCTGACCCAACTCCCACTGGACTGTTTCTAAATGGCTTTTTCTGTCACTGAAGTGGCAGACACATGAAATACCTGCAGTAAAGTTAGACAGGTTTTGTACACGTTTGCCTTGGAAGACCTGCATAATGGTACTGCATGCTGGTGGCTCCAGGCTCCACTTCCAATCGTGTATTCTAGGTTTGTCTGTGTATAAAATTAGTATGTGTGGTAAGCAGCAGTAAGATGTTCCCTACTTGGATTGACTAAATTAAAATTCAGTAAGAAACACGGCTTTGGGTGAGTTTCCAAATTACTTTCAGGGTTTTGCTGAGGAGATTGTTATGGAATCATAAACCTTTTCAGTGGGCAAACAGCCTGATGCGAGTTACGTGCTTTTATTGCCTCATAGTACTCCTCCTATTTTATGTACTGTGCAGTGTAATCTTTTGTTATTAAATAATAAGCAAAATAAAAACAGTTGTTTGTCACAGCCAGCTTGTTTTCCAGAGAATTTGTTCCCTTTGAAAGTTCAGTCTGTGTGATCTTAGCCCTGTCAGAAGCTATTATACTGCATCTTCTTTTAAATCGTTCAGCTGGAGGACAAACCTCGATGTTATCGTGCACATCTCAGCCGAGAGCGGAGCAGATTCGGTGGGGAGCAGCCTCTGATGACATGTACTGTGCTGCTGGTTTTGTCGGGAACATGTCAACATTATCTGCTTCCAGCGCTACGTGTGTTGGCTGACACGAGCATTGGTAGATCTGTATAATTTCTGAAGCAGTTTGAAATGTGGATATAACAGGGCTGTGGGAAGTCTTGAAGTCTTCTTTTTTTTCTTTTTTTCTTTTTTTCTTTTTTTTTTCTTCCCTCCTCCTGATGGCTCGTATTGCTGTTCAGAAAGTTGCTGGTTTGTTGCTCCCTCCCACTGTACTGTAATACAGTGTGCTGACTGTATTTGATTGTAGAATTCATAACAGAAGTGCTTCAAGCTAGAAATTGTCATTGCTAACGAGCAACTGGTGGAAGGTTTGGGAAGACCAGGAGCACCACTGCTTTCCAGTCACAGCATTACATTTGAAATAGAGGCTGTTGCTTTAGTGTATTTGGGATCACACCTTAATGCAGGATGGGATGCTCACTTAGGGGTCTTCCTCTTGGACTTCAACGGACAGGGTTTTTCTGCATCCCATGAAAGCATATTATAGATTAAAAGTAGGGTGAGATTCTTCACTTCCCTGTTTTTTCAAGCTGCTTGTTTGATCCGTAATGCTCAGACCTGTCTCAACCTCAGGAGCAGTCGTGCTTTTCCATGAGGACACACAGCACCCCTCTCCTTCATGCTCTGTAGTGCAGCCAGGCAGCAGAAGGAGCCGTATGGGTAGCCATGGCAGCCAGTAATTGATGGCTCCATATGGCCGGTGTGCTGCAGCTGCTCTGGTTTAAGGAGGTCAGGGCATCGGGGCATTTAAGGAACTGACCAAACCTAGGCATCCCTATAAAGCCTTCCTGAATGAGTTTGTACAGTAATAGCAGGCTTTTCCATGGGTGTGTGACCAAAGGGAGAGAAATCAACTTATTTTCTTTTTTAGATGATATCAAAAAGCATTATTTTAGAGGGAAAAGAAGTTTTTGGGATGGTTTTTAGTTTTTCTCAGTTCTTGCTGTAGCTTGCAGTAGCACAATGCAGAGGGCTCAGCCCGGCCCTGAGCTTTATGGTGCATGAAACGGTGTGCTGAGAGAGAAACCACATTACCTAAACTGGATGACAGTGCTGTGTTTCTAGTAATGAAGTGATGAAATACGCTTTGTGAGCAATTGGCATGGAGCAGAAATACAGCTTTAATTTCAGAACGGGTGCAAGAGTCACTCACTGCTGAAAAATGGCATGGAAGGGCTCTTGGATATAGCATTAGTTTGCAAGTAGGCTTTTCGTAAGTGTGAATCTTATTATTTTCATTAGGGGACCATTTTAATTAAAGTGAAACTGGAATGTTTACTTTCTGCTTCCTGTAGCTTGTGATGGTTTTCTTCACTGTGTGAGCACTCGCATAATTTGCTCTAAAAGAAGTGTCAGCAGTTTTTGATTACCTTGTGAGTCTTACTCAACAGCTTGATTTTAATTGGGGGGAGGAAAGATTTCTGGGTGCTCTAGGGAGGTCTGAAGCCTTTTGGTATCATGAAGCAATAGGTGCTATCTTTGGTGCAATGTTAATTACAATAATCACTTGTAGTGGTTTAAAATAAAGGTCCTTCATTGCTTACCCCCGTTGGGCTTTTTCTCAGTTATGTCAGTGAAATACAACCTGGATGATAATTAGCATCCCTCAGCTGCTTAACCTTTTAGCACCTCTGCATTTGTGTTTTTGTAAATGTTTGAACAGAGTGACTTTTGGAAAGCACAGATTGACAGGTAGCCTCAAATTTTGGGAGCACTGTACAATTCAGGCTAGGTAAAGAAAGGAGACGGTCAGGCACTTGGGGTGAAGTTTGCCCGTGCCTTCACATGCATTCTCTCTAAGCCCAGAAGTCCGCCAGGAATTGTAAGTAATAGATAATTTATGTAGGTCAAGAGTATCTCTTTCTTGAAGATTTTGATCATCATAAGATATGACAAGAGGTGTCTGTCACAGAAGAATGTGTTCTGGATCGTGCAGCAGTGCAGCTCCCGAAGCACTCCTGTACCATCTTTTCATCTGTATCTGCTGCAAGGAGTCACCTTGGACTCCTTTGGTTGCTGAAATGCCTTTCGGGTCTTGCAAAGCATTCCAGAGATGACCGTTTTTGGAGCTCAGCCAGCGCCTTGTATTTTAATATTGTCTTCTTCATCACAGATAATGATCTGAAGTACGCCCTGCTCGTTCTCTGGGGTTATGTTTCCTCCTGCTGATTATTTGAAATAAATAAATAAGTAGGAAAACAACTGGTATCTGTGTGTCAACAGGAAGGAATGACTAATAGAAAAGGGAGAGCAAAGATACTGCTTATCATAAAAAACTACATCTCCAGAAACATAAATTGGTATTCATTAAGTTGTTTGCGTAGAGTTAGTTAAAAGACATACTTGAGGAGCTGTTGGAGCCGTGGTTCAGTAGAAAACAAGTCATGCTTTTCACGACTGGATGTATCTAGATGAGGAGGAAAGCCTGAAAAGCAACAATAGCTGATGGATTGAGAACAGCCTTCGTGGCAGTAAGGAGACAACAGTCTGTGAAATGCTTTTCAGAAAAGAATGATACTTAGTGCTCAGCTGTGGTGTAATACTGATTCATCTTTTCTCCTCGGATATGCAGGTCTTCTTTGATGCAATTAAAAAAAAAAGTCTATGTTCAGTTTCTGTCACTTGTTATTCCAGGTATGCAGGGTTCCTTTGTTTTTGATGATGATTTCCATAACTGGAGTTTAACGTTCAATCTGATAATTATGGAATCCTGTGTATAGAGTCTTACTGGTATCTTGCATATGTCATCAAATGAAGGGTAGTAGTTGCAGAGCAGTGCTGGGTAATTCAGAAGGTGTCTCAGTTTTGCCATGTCTGCATTGTTCCAAAAAATGCTTTGTTTGTCCCCAAAGTGTGACCTGCCCCTCTGAGCCCACTGTGTTCCTTCCTGGCAGGCAGCCTGCAGGTGCAGCTTTTGCTGTGCTTGGAAGTGCTGCTGCTGCACACTGGGACGGCAGCAGAGGGATGAGGCATTGCTGTGAGGGCTGCCTGCTTCTTCCCTTCCTCACCGCTTCCTTGAGTCTTTTTGTTTCTGTAATATCTGATCAAAACATCCCTTTCATGGACCTTCAGGATGAGCTGAAATGTTGTGCTTGTTGACTGGCATTTTTCTCCATGATCCTGAATTGGGGCAGATGCTTAGAAGGGAACGTGTGTACTAACTATTGTATGGTTTGTGACTGTCTGCTGTTAGCTTTGCTTTTGCGTTTTAAAAAAAGTTAGTGCACAGCAGAACACTAGCAAAGTGCTTTCATTTCTTGCATACTATACATCAAGCTCTTTTGTATATTGTGTAACTTTTCTGGTGTTCACCATTTCTTTCCTTTTTTGCAGGTTAAGACCCTTGATTTCTACACAGCTGGCTAAGAAGGCTGCCACTGAGGAGGTATGCAAAGTCCAACTCTTTGTAGAGTCATTAGGGTTGGAAAAGACCACTAAGATCACCCAGTCCAATCTCAGCCCACCTCTACCATGCCCACTGCCCACGTCCCTCAGTGCCAAATCTCCACAGTTCTTGAGCACCTCCAGTGGTGGTGACCCCACCACTCCCTGGGCAGCTGTGCCACTGCATCACTACTCTATCTGAGAAACGATTTTTCCTAATATCCAACCTGAACCTCCTCTGAACCTCTTCCGTTGGTCTGGAAATTCCCACAAGTTTTTCTCAGCCTGTCTCAGGCTGTGTAGTAAATATGGGCAAAAGAAATGAGACTCATGTGTCAGCGGTCAGAGCAGGAGCTGGTTACTACAAGCAGTGCAACACTGAAGTTGTGTCTTCTAAACAAGGTTTGCGTTTACTTACCATCAGTAACTTTAGCCTCACAACCCCTAGTTCAATAGGAAAAAAGGAAAGATTCCCTGCAAGCATCTAAAAGGGCATATACTGAACGAGTAGTAGGAGAGGCAGAGCTTTGTGCCTGTTTCATCACTTGGACCGTGCCCACAGAGATGGGGGACGATAGGAAGTGCTGCTTCTGTGGAGCTGGTGGTGACACAAGGGAAGGATTGAGGTTCTGGAGCCTGCCTAAATTGATCAGTGAAGAAGCACGAAGTGACAGCTTACCCAGTAATAACTTGGCTTACTCTTTTTTTTATTGTTTGGTTTGCTTTGGAAATAATTATATTTCCATTGAAAAGTTAGAGCTAGTAAGTGGTCACCATCAGAAACCCTCCCAGGGTGGCTTTGTGCATGTGAATGTTCTGCTGAAAGGGTCATGGCTGTTATCACTCACAGCAGTAACAGCTTTCCTTTGCTTTTATATTTACACTGTACAAAATAAACACATGCATTTTGCTGATGATAAAAGAACTGTGTGTCTGACAATTCTGTTCCTAATATACCAAAGGAATTTGTCATTCCTTTCTTTTTCCCCATGTATGGGTGATACCGATGCCCTTTTGAAAGGGTGCTGGCCAACTGTGATAGCTTGATGTGCTTTCACAATGCCCGTGCGTATGTAAAGTTGCATGCCAAACTGAAGTCCAAGTTGTCTAGAAGTGAGTCCAGGAAGTTCTATTTAAAGATGTTGTTTGACTGCTTTATTTTTAAAATGACTAAAATCCACTGAGTTTCAGAAACAGTTTGATATCCTGCCTAGGGAAATACATTTTCACTTCTTATGTTACACTCATTAGAAAACCCTGCACATTTTTAGAAATACAGCAATCTGGAAGTGGACATGATAATTAGAAGAAGGTCACATTTTAATTAGAATAGTTCAATTTTAAAAAATAATGACTCAGTTGTAGCTCTTTTATATTCGCTCACTTTTTCAGAGCAGATGGATACTTCCAGCATAAAAATTGGTAGACGTTATGATTCATGTCAAATGGTTGGGTCTATTTCTGCTTGTACCTGAAATGTAGATGGACTCAACTTCATCAGTCTAGAGGCAAAAACAATGGTAGGAAATACAAAATAAACTGGAGGGAAGTTCCTTTAAGTTGTATTATTAATTTGAGCATTCGAAATAATGAAAACTTGCCTTTGAGTGATCCAAACACCTAAACATTTTCTGCTAAAATTAATGGATGCCTTGTGGCTTATTAATGAGCTATTGAAGCAAACCCATAGATGGCTGTGAGTATCTCAGACATATTATTGCTTGACTGGCATGGTATGTGATATGTGACAATTTTTAGGAGCAGCTTTGATATTTAAATAATTAGACCATCAGCTTTCTGATACAGGGACTTTCTGTTATGGCATACCTCTAAAGTGCTTGGAGTTAGAAAGATTCTGGGAGTTTCTGTATCAGAAGTAAATCCATTACCAAATAAATAATTACAATGCTGCGACAGACCTTATTGCCAACAGAACTGAAGAAGATGCAGCAGTACACGGTTGTGTGATGTGATTTAAAGCCTGGAGCACTGCAGGGCTTTTCTTGTGGTAGGGGTGAGGGAAGCTGTATGGGGCAGGGCACATTGCTGCAGGAGATGGATTTGGTGCCTGCCCCATTCCTGAAGTGGAGACAGCATTACTTGCACCTCCACATTCACTGCTGTCTGCTTGCTGTGTGCTGCTGTTGCTCTCTCTCCCAGTGTCCTACCTAACCTTGGAACATTTGACTAGGTGCAGATGCTGGAATAGGTCCAGCAGTGACCAATTCCCAAATTAGAGTTTGGAGGTCGTTATTCTGATGTATTTCATAGGAAATGGTACAGATGCTGTTGTGTATTATCAACTTAGTGCTCTACCATAGCATTAAGTGCTGTCTAAAGAGTGCCATTTGTTCCACAGCTCATTGTGCCTCCAAATAAATCCAACCTGAGCTGTCAAAGCTAATAGTCTTTCTTTTTTTTTCTGATTTGAAGGGTACATTTTTACCATCATTGAAGTGCCAATAGCATTGTTACTGTGTAATAGGCTTGATGTGAGTCAAGCACAGTAAGGAAAAGGTGGTGAGCTTTCCCGCAGGGCTCTGTTGAGGAGCCCTCAGGCCTAAATTTCTCCGTACCTTCTCCTCAGGGGAAAGTTCTTTACCGAGTGGTGAGGTGCTGGAACAGCTGCCCAGAGAGGTTGTGGATGCCCCATCCCTGGGGGTGTTCAAGGCTGGATTGGATGGGGCCCAGGGCAGCCTGGTCTAGTGTTAGATATGGTTGGTTACTCAGCAGGGGGATTGGAGTTTCATGATCCTTGAGTTTCCTTTCGACCCAAGCCATTCTGTGATTCTGACTTGCCTGTTCTCTGGAATGGCTACACCTCCAGCACTTGATGTGAGCTTCCAGCTCTCTTCTTGCTAAGCATTACATAAGAATATTGAATAAAAAGGGCTGTCCTACTGCCCTGTCTTCTGTTTTGCAGGTGACCTTTCCAAATGCACAAGCAGAAGCCTCTAACTTAGAAAAGCCAGCGACTGTGCTAGTGGAGAGCGGCCCAGTAGCTTATAACCTTGATGAAGAGGTGGAAGAGGAAGAAGCAGAAGAAGAAGATGATCACTGCATGAGTGCATTGCAGTTAATGGGAGGAAACGGTAAGTTGGGATGCTGTCTGCATTACAGCCTTTTATTTCTCTGGTGCTGTCAGGTTTCTTGGTGCAGAGTTCAGGACAGACGGGGTTCCTGTACTTGTCTCAGCGCTTTGGCAGCTCATCCCAAGCTGAGCTCGTTCTTGTGAGAGATTGGAGTCACCTCTGTCAAAAATGGGACTTTCTTAGGGACTCCTCCAGAGAAAAGTCTGTGTCTCAATCTTTAGGTTAGGAAGGTTTCTCAAGAGGAAACTGACGTTGGGCCTTCTTTGGAATGACATTTATTAATGTGAATCTGAGGAATTAAGTAACCCCTCTATTAGAAGAGTTTGGGGCTTGTTGCCTCACAATGGTGCACAGGCCCTTTAGACTTGACTGTCCAGCTCAAGGCAGTCATCACAGCCTATTTCTGGGATAAGTGTCAGAGGAAGGAGTTCTCCAAATTCAGAAACGATATCGATAGTGTGTGGTGTGCTGTATGGCATGCAGATGTGTGCTGATTTCTTTGGGCTACCCAGCAAAGCCTCTCACTTAATTGGACTTCTCTGCTGACAGGAAAGGGCAGTATCCTTTCTGTTGTGTTCTTCCTAGCAGGACACATCCATGTTTATCTTTTATTAAAAACTTCCCCTCAGAAGTCAAGCCTTGAAAATATACAAAAATATTTTTGAAATGAGGGTAGCTAATTATGGGTTTTGAAAAAGCAAGATGAGGATAAGTCTCCTCCTGAAATGTTATTTACTGCAAAAGTGTTTCCAGAACTATTAATTTACCTTTCATGGACAATATATATATATATATATATATAGTTTTCATAAAAGCATGTGTTGCTTTTAAATTGATTTTTCCACTTCAAAATAATTGCTGAACCCTAGGAAAAAACAGTTTGTTGCCTGCATGTATTATTAGAATAACGTTCCCAAGAAAAGACACCCATGTGGGGGAGGGTGGGTCCATGTTTATTAATAAATCCCCAACAAAAATAGAATAAAGGTCACAGAGCTATTTTTTATTTGTAAATGTTACTATTTTAAAACCATTCTGAGAACATTCTGCTGCTCCCTGTCTGGTTTGGACAACAGCTGAAAAATCAGAGTTAAATAAAATAAAATAAAAAAGGAAAGGACTATTCCCAGAATTCAAATGCAGGTGTGCAGAGCTGTTTAGCAGAACAAATAACTCCTTTCTAACTGCTTTCTTTATGGATTTTAGACCCGTCTGCCTGGAATAACTGCAGGAATTACAGATGCTGAACATCATCCATTCTAGACGAATTATTATAGATTACACTTTATTTCTGCTTCAGAGCATTTGCTTGACTTTGGATCAAATGCTGCAGTATATTAAATTTGGAATATAAAGGTTAACATCACGGAATGCTCACATGTAATCGTTATCTTTAGGTTTGACTTTGCAACAGAAAATGTCTTTCTCACTTTATTCAGGAAGGACAGAGAAGAGAAGTTGTGCGTTAGAAAGACACAAGCGTGCCTTCTAGTGCCCAGAACACACAGACTTTACAGCCAGCATCATTTTAGGAAACAGAACAGGATTGGAAAAATTGACAAAGTTTTAAGTTGTGCCTCTAGGAGTAAGTAGGTGTGGGAGTTCTGAGTCAGATGTATGGGACGCATTGCATGACAGAAACCCACTTCTGGAGGCTTTCAAGGTAAGGCTGGATCAGGCCCTGGGCTGTGGTGTCCCTGTTCATTGCAGGGGAGTTGGACTAGGGGACCTTTAAAGGTCCCTTCCAACCCTAAGAGATCCTATTCTATTCTGTGTAATGAGGTCCCAGTGACAAGTGAGTAGAAATATTTATACACATACATTTACAAATAATTTTATTATATGGAGGAAAAATGGAAGAACTTTTTCATCAACCCGAAGAAAATATGTGATTTTTTAAAATGCTTTTTTATGGCAGAATTTATCATCTAGTTGGACAGCAAGAGCACAACCTGAAACTTGCAAGTACTTATGTTGAATGTTCCACCTACCTGGAATATTTGCATTTTTATTTATCTTTGTCTTCATGTGTTTCAGATTATGGCTGTGATATGGACGATGATGATGGCTATTAGTTCTGTTTACTTCTAAAGACATGGACTATTTCTTGTTCCCAGAAAAACTGCAATCATCTTCAAACTGTACGAATGGTGAAAGAAGCAGTCTATGGTCTGCAAATGTTATCAAGCAATCCTTACTTCTGTAAAGTGAATTTTAGCTTTGCGTTGGCTCTGGTCAGTTTACATTGACTCATAACCCAGCAATAATGTTTGGGTTTGTACTTGAATTATTTTTATTTTGGTGGTTGTGGTTTGAGAATAAAATTATTGGGAGTCATGTTTTCAGACAACAAAAGAAAGAGACAAAATAGGCAACGTAAAAAGAGTTATATGACTCTGCTTAGTGCACATTATTGAAAGGGAGCATACAGAAGGACAGACAGTGGGATGGATAAAAATGAGAAGCTCACCACCTGATTGAGTACACCAGGATTAATTGTCTTAAATACTACAGCCAACAGAGAACACTTCCAACATTTACTGACAAATTGCCCTTGTCATTCTATGCAATCTTCCATGCTCAAGCCTATCATAAATTGACAACAAGTTATGTATTGTACCTGTTTCTCTGAAATAGAGTAAATATTTGCTGATACTAATCAATTCATAGATGTCTAGAAGTTGTCTCAGTAGAAGGTAATGTTGGCAATGAGGAAGTGACTTACGCTGTAAGTCAGATATTTACATGTGAGGAAGGAGAAACCCTGGGTGAGGCAAGAATTGGAGAGAGAAAGCTGGAGACACTGCTGGTGTCACGTACCTTTGGAGTCACTGGGGGCAGCCAGGAGGTGTTATGGCTGGTGTTGCTGCAGGGGAGTGACTCCAGCCATCTCTACAGAGCTGCTCCCATCCGACTGAATTGGAGTGCAGGTCTGCTCCCAGAGCTGCCTGGCTTTAAAACCGGTTGAAAGCAAGAGAAAGCTGAGCTTTTTAATAAATAAGCTAGCATCTGCTTTGGCTGAATTTAATTTTATGTAATATATTTAACTTTCTGTGGGTAAATTAAAGGTCACCATGCAGCAGCCTGAATTTCATGGCTCAAATCCTACCCTTAAAGAGTCTCTGCTACGTGAATAATGCTGGGGCTTCAGCTGTATGTGCCCCAAAATGTCAACAGGCAGACCCTTGTCACCCAGATCAGCAATCCACACGCTGTAGTGGGACAGTGGATCAGGAACAGATCTGCAGTGCCGGATCCCACCCTGCTGCCTCTGTGCTGCCTTTCCCTGACACTGCTGGGTCTCCAAGGCTCCCAGCCCAGTGTGAGATGCACTACCATCTTGATGGCTGCAGCTGCAGGAGATAGGATGCTTTCATCTCTCTCCCTTGTCTGTGACAATCATGAATGCTCTAGTATTGCAGACTTCTCTTATATCGGGCAAAGGTGGATGTTTATCTTACCACTATGGGTTCTGTTAAGCTGGCCTTCCTGGCTAGCTCTTCCTTCCTACCCTTTCTGGGATTTTGAAGCACCATTTTAAAGCACCACTCATTAAGGCACCAGTAATTCTGTTGCCTCAGAGGGTGGATAGTGTCAGGAGAAGAAGCTGCCTTGGGAAGGGACAAACCCCAGAGAGAGGAAGGGAGTGATGGTTCTCATACCTGTGGCCATTGCCAACAAGGGAGAGGACCTTCCATACTTCTTCTGTCCCTTTCAGTAGCTTGCATAAAGGGGATCATGTAAATAGAGCCAGAATGAGTGCATTTTTTAGGCACAGAGTTGATTTTGTTTGGGTGGTAAATGTAATGTGTTGACTAGGTTTTATGCGCTAGATATTTTGAGTCCCAAATAGGAGCATTTCTCAGTGATCTCTTTTAACAGTAGAGCTTGGTTTAAAAATGCAATAATAAACAAGAAGATGTTGTAAGACTAATGGGAATAAAAGCTCTTCTGAATCAGATTTCAGTTTGCAGCACATTGAAGAGATTCCTTATAATTGCTGGGAAGCGGCTGGTGCTTTCATCAAACAGCCATAGCATTTTTTTCTGATACTTTATAAGCACTGCACAAAAAAGTTCATGGAGGAGATAAACCTTTCTACCTCTCTTTTATCTATACCGTAATTCAAAATCATGCTATAAGCTGACAATAAAAATAAAAAAGTAGTTTGTTTTATCAAAGTTCATGGTCTGCGAGTCTTTGAGACAGCTGAGTTTGAGCACTGGGGTTTGAATTAATCTGTCAGTAGCACTGTTACAAGTAACTGTGCTCTCAGTGTATTCTCAGAGCTGGGTTTTATTCCAGGGTACACATTATTCTCCATGCAGGAAATAAACACGCATCAATAAACATGTGTATGACTCATGTAGGTCGAGAACGTTTCTCAAATGCATAATGTTGGTTCGTAAAGAAACGGCTGAGTTCCGTATTGCTGAGGGTCTTTCCTGCAGTTTTCTGTGTCGATTTTCATGGGTTTGTTAGCCCTACAGAATATTAAACCTGCTGCCAAAGTAGGGACATTAGGTGTGAGAGCTGAGAGCCCACTTGAATAACTCCTGCTAGCAAATGTTAGTTTTGTTCTCACGTTGTGTTTCTGAGAACATTGTCTCCTGCACTGGGAGCAGCGAATGCTTTTCTGTATCAGACAGGAAAATACTTGCAGGTTTTGAAAGCTCTCATGAGATCTGATTGGAGAAGGCTATCTCATAGTCTTCTAGAAGGGCAGTTAGAGAGCAAAAAAGGACCTGCAAACCCATGGCATCTCAGTATTGCTGGTGAAGCTAATGGCATGGTTTCTGCACAGGAGTCCTAAAGGCAGAGCCATGGTATTGCTCTGAGCATTGCAAGCTTCTTAATCTATAGTGGTTATCATAGAGTCATAGAATCATAGAATGGCCTGGGTTGAAAAGGAGCACAATGCTCATCCAGTTCCAACCCCCTGCTGTGTGCAGGTCGCCAACCACCAGACCAGGCTGCCCAGAGCCACATCCAGCCTGGCCTTGAATGCCTCCAGGGATGGGGCATCCACAGCCTCCTTGGCAACCTGTTCCAGTGCTTCACCACCCTCTGTGTGAAAAACTTCCTCCTAATATCTAACCTAAACCTCCCCTGTTTTAAACCATTTCCCCTTTTCCTATCACTATCCACCCTTGTAAACAGCCATTCCCCCTCGTGTTTATACGCTCCCTTCAAGTACTGGGAGGCCACAATGAGGTCTCCCCGGAGCCTTCTCTTTTTCAAACTAAACAAGCCCAGTTCCCTCAACCTTTCCTCATAATATATTATATTATGTATATTTTTAATTTATTGGTGACTTACCAGGATTTTTATAATGTTCATTCCTTCTTGATTTAACTAAGCTCAGGAAATGTAAACAGATTAGAACATGCTAGTTTCTGTTTTTATAGCTAGTCATTAAAATGTAAAAAGATTAACACTGCATTAACTCTGTTTACTACTGTTGATGTATCTGGACTATTTTGTTGTATGTAAGTGAGCCTTTATTCTCTTGGAATCATTTGGACCTTGCTTATTTCAGGATTCTGATTATAACAAAGATAGACCATAGGGCTTCAACATCTGTTGTCCCTGGGTCGTCTTTCTTGAACTCACACAAGCTGTAGATGATAGGTTTTCTTGCATAAAGCATGTCTCTTGCTGCAAGTCACTTTGCTTGACAGGCAAAATTCTCCAGCTGTTGCATCCAGCTTGTCTGCCATGCAGCCTTTTAACAATCTTTTATTGTGGGGATAAAAAATGAAAGAAATAAGGAAAATAATAAGATTCTTCACTGGGGCGACTGTATTTTCAGTGTCTTAATCATCCATGACGTTTCTTTTAAGACCGCTCTGTTCACTTCAGCAACTCAGAAATGGTGCCAGACAGACAGCCTTGTTTTGAGGGTTAAACATATTTGTCTAAAAAGTCCTTGCCATCCTGATGGCTCGTTTGTATTCCTTGGATTGCATTGAAACTCTCTTCGCAAATGCGTGTACGCTTAATGTAGAGTTTTGCTTAATAAATGTTCTGTTTCTTATTTTCATGTTGAATCCTTGCATTTGGTTCACTTAGTGCCAGGGAAGTTAAACCTGTTAGATGTAAGCACATGTATCTTCCTTACACAACCACAATGTGAGTCATGTTAAGTTTTGGTTTTTTTTTTACTGTAATATATTTGCTGCAAATAAAAAGTAAAACCCTTGCAGAACCCATCTTTTATGGTGCTCTTCTACTGATTTCTGATTCTTCTGTCTTCGTTCTTGTGAATGTTTTTTTGATTGGTTGACAGTGGAAGAAATCCTTTTAACTCAGAGCTTTCTTCTGTCTCTAAAAGTGAGGTAAGTGTTTCTTACAAGAAATTGTTCTGCTGGTAAATGTAGATACTTTCTGTAAACTGCATTACATTAACGAGGTTTTAGCATCAAGCTATATAATTAACTGACTAAAGCAGTATGTAGTATATAGTAGAGCAGTTACCAGTAGTTTTGATTTAGGGCTGTGGTTTCGTGGGCATGGTGGGGATGGTTTGATGGTTGGACTGTATGATCTTGGTGGTCTCTTCCAACCTTAATGATTCTGTGATTTGGTGATGGGGCATGGTGGGATGGTTGGAATAGATGATCCTAATGGTCTTTTCCAACCTTTATGATTCTATGATATGATGTTGAACGTGCTTCATTCTAGCTTTACTGCATTCCCTTTATCTCCCTTAGGTACTGTCTTGCTCTCTTTGACATCAGGATGTTTTCATTTGTAGTTTCTTTACAGCTATTCCAACCCTTTCCAATGGCGGTTGGGAATTTCTCCAGTGATGTCCATCATTGGTGCTCTCTCCATCATAATATCTAAATTGCAATGAAGTACCGTTTGCCTCAGCCTCATATTTACTGCCTTTCCCAAGCTGTGCAGTTTATTAGCTTTGTCCTGTAATTTTTTGTCTTCCCTACCACCTCAGGCTGTCATAGCCAAAACCATTCTGTCCTCCCAACTGCCTTCATCAAGTACGCCTCCTTTAAGGGTCTGAAAATTAAATAATGTTAACAAAGCTGAAATATTGCAAAGATTTATATTAGCTTCATTTGTCAGCAGCAGATCGTAACGTCCTTGTGTTTGGGTTCACATATTGTAATAGAAGAGGTGCTGTAATTTCCTACTCCAGGCACACACATAAGAAGAGCTGTAGGATGATATTCCATGATTTTTTGCCCTGGTGCCTGGCTGAGTGGTGTTTGTTTAGTGAGAGGGGTGAAGCACTGAGAAATGAGGCAGGAGGAATGCTTACAGCCTAGCAAATCTACTTGATGAGTTTCTTCATCTTAATTGTTTTATTCTTTTGGGACCGTTGTGCATTTTCATGGAAATGAGGGAGGCAGATACATTTCATAAAAATGCAAAATGAAAATCCCATCCTGCCACGTGATTTAATGACTTCTTGTCTGAATCTTGTGTTTGTTGTTGTATGGGCTGGCAGTAAGTGGCATTGCACTAGACACCGGGACGGCAGGCGTTTTATTAGCTGTCTCCATTGCACAATTGCAGGAAGGATGCTTTCTTATTGCTCTTAGTGCTCCTAGTGAGGTTTCTCAATTCTTCAAAACCAGAAAAATACTGCAAATTAGAGGAATCTGGACAAAGCAATGAAAAGAAACGGCACCAACGCTGC